ATTTTTCCGGAAAGGGTCCTAACACTAATGCATTTAAATGCTAGCTCAGGCTTCACCTTAAGATTTTCATAGTGCGAAAATTGTGGAGATTCTTCTTTCGACTTCCTCAAAATCGTTAATTTTCAGCATAGGATGGAATGGATAAAGCGTAACAATTGATTGAACTTGGAATGGTAAAATAAAATGCAGTAAGCATTAGTCATTTGTGCCACTAGCTATTGGCATTAGCTTCCTTCTTTAGTTATGTTAGACAAGTGTATTAATTTGGTTTTACTTATTTGAGAATTTGGTTCTTTGTTGCAGTTGGCGATGTTGTGGATTTGCAGTTGTCAATTGATGCTATTCAAAACAAACTTGAATTTAATAATACAAGTGAGATTTCCCAGCCAACATGTAAAATGCTTGCTAAAAATTTGGTGTTTACTAAGATCAATCCTCGAGTGGCACGATTTACTGAAGGTTTTGATAGAGCTTCGAGTTCCATCTTTCATCACGAAATGCTAGATGTGACATACAAAGCTCAATCACAGCTGTCAAGCACCCTACTCGTCAGTCACAGTTGATGATATTTTTAAGCATAAAGACTTTTTGATATAGAGAACTCGATTTCAGATTATTCACTTTTTATTACTGTAGACAAGTTGCAAATTTGCAACTAAACGAGTGAAAGCTCCCGTCCAAGGATGTAATTTTCAGTATACGATATAATTGTAGTAATCATTGTAACACATTATATTTTTAGCATTGTAATATGTTATATTTTTACGGAGTTGGAGAATGAGTTTGACAATTGTCTTGTTATGGTGGTCAGTCGAGTTGGGGTGAGATGGTGGTGTGAGGAAGATGATTATATGTATATGTATATTATTGTTTCAGGAAAAATAATATAGTATATATTTGGTAGAGATTCTTTAAAAAAAATCAAATTTATTTCCCATCACAAATTATCTCCGTAAAATAATTTTGCAAGTGAATGGATATTTTATACTTTTTAACCAGAAAAAATAAATAAATCACTTTTTATTAAGCCTACATCAAATCGGCTAATAGTGGTAATGTAAATACTCTTTCCAAATTGATGAAAGTAGACGAAAAGGATCCAAATATAAAAAATGGAACAATAGAGATGATTTGCGCAATTCAACAAATGATTGAGGCGTTTTGTGTGAATTACCGATAAATTATATTAATTATTGAGAGGCAAAAGCCCCAAAGCCGAAGCCAAAGACGAAGCGAACAAAGGCGAAAAATCCATCGTACAGCTACCTAATTTCAATTTCATGTCCATCTCCCCCTACAAGAATCTAGGTTCAAAGTCATCTTCATCTGCTCAGCCTTCATCTCAATCCCTTTTTTCCGACGATGGATGCCTCTCTCCTCATCCACATCATGGCGGATCTAATCTCCACCAGCAAACCTTCCATGCCTCCTTCGAATCTCTCCGAATTTCTGACGTTTTCGAGGGTCTGTATTGTACTCTTCTTTATTCTTTTTTAATTCAATTCACTTCTATTTTTTGTGTGTATTTTCTGTGTTCAATTTTGGTGCGTGAAAATGAAACCCTAGAACTCCTCATCTAGATGTTATGAAATTAAATTTTTTTTTTTTGCTCTATTCGAAGTTTCTTTATCAATTCTATTACTGCACTTTGTCTGCTTAATGTTTAAGTTTTCATTGTTTATTGCAATGGTTGCCCTTTTGCAGTCATTTAGTATGATAGCTTAGATGAGTTGCATTTCTGGTTGTTACCTAATATGTGTTTTGCTAACTGCAGTTTGAAGTGCTTACTGTATTTGTGGTTCAATTTTTCAGGGCAAGTGGCTCCAACTGCAGGATATTCTGATGGACCTTCCAGCGAGGTATTTTTGCTCATTTTTAGGTCTTATTGTAATTTTGATTCTTTTTTTGTTTGAATTTATTAAGTTTGGTTGGTTCTTTTCATTATTTTTCTTACTCTCATCAGGTGAATGAGTATGAGAGCCAAAATGATTACAGAAGTGAGACTTATGAAAACAGTGGTAAAAGCTCACACCATGAAGCTGCCACACAAGCCGGGGTAGGATCCACTGAACTAAGAGAGAAATCTTCTGAGACCCGTGTTAACTGTCAGAGTAACCCACCTACAAGTTCTCAAGGAAGAATGAATTTAACGGGAAGGAAAGCTCAGATGGTTAGTGGCAATCACTTATTGAATTTTCATTATGATCCTATACCTGTTTCCCGTCCTCAGCCAAGAGCTCCTCTTGCCAGAAGACAGCGCAAGAGAAAACCTTATAACAAGGATCTGTTCCTTCAAGCAAATTACAAGTTTGTATTGCTTGATTCTGGAAACTATGAGCTTGAGTCTATGGATCCGGACAAAATGTTATGTTGGGAGGATATCATTTGCTTGAAGTATTCAACATCCTCTCCTGTCCACTGTCCAATATGCTTGGAAGATCCCTTATGCCCACAGATAACCTCGTGTGGTCATATCTTTTGTTTCTCGTGCATTTTGCAATATTTTTCAATGGACGAATATGATCATAAAGTTGAACATTGGAAAAAGTGCCCACTATGCTTTACGATGATATCTTCAAAAGATTTGTACACCATCCGCATTGAGAACGTTGAACAACACAAGATTGGTAGTGAAATAGAATTTGTTCTATTAACTCGCCAAAAAGATTCGTTTACTTTGTCTATTAAAAACAATGAAGGAAATCATTTTGATGCGGAGATTCAAGATTCTTTCTCAAAGTTCTCCTTGACTTCAGATGTGGACCTGGCTGTTAGAGAGGCAATGTCAGATCTAGATAGTTGGTTAGCCAGGGCATATTCAGGTCTAGTTGATGACCTCCAGAAACTTCCATATGTCTCTGCTGCAATGAAACAATTGGAGCAAAGGAAGACCTATTGGAATGAGCATCATTCCAACAGCAAGAAGGCTTATGACAGTTCATCTCCACCAACGCCAAAAGCTTCTGTTGTGCAACAAACAACCTCTACTGGAATTAATGATAACTTAAAGTGGTTGCAAAAACCAGCTCCAGATAAAGTGGATGGGCAGTTCCTTTTGGCTCAAGGTGTGAATGTTAATGAATCATTAGATCGTGATGGATCATCATCATCATCTTCATTTGATGAAAACAAGAATGTACACATGCATCCTAGTGGCTTCAAGGACATCAAAGACATTGATTCTTACCATTTCTACCAGGTCAGTGATATCAATTGTTCCCCCCCCCCCCCCCCCCC